TGTTGGTCCAACCTGTCAGCCGCCGGTGGTCACTAGGGGCAACTCTGGGCTGGCCTACCGGAAGTTTGGACAATCCGGTGTGCCCTGAGAACGAGATATGTGCAGCTCCTATCAGGATTTGTCGGCACATTCGGGCGGCTTTGCTGGTCTTATTTTACCATTATCGAAATGTCTTGTAACTGGGATTCCGAGTCTGATCGAGTCTTCCTGGGAGAAGGAATATCCTTCGTTGATCGCGAGAGCTTATCATGGGCTAAGTTGGGACACCCCTGCAAGGTATAAACTTTCGAAAGCCGTGCCCGCGGTTATGTGGCAGATGGGAATTTGTTAATGTCCGGTTGTAGATAACTTGACACCAGATCCGAATTAAAACGCATCAACTGTGTGTGTAGCCGTGATGCTCTCTTTTCGGCGGAGTCCGGGAAGTGAACACGGTTTTGGGTTATGTTTGACGTAAGTAGGAGTTCAGGATCACTTCTTGATCATTGCTAGCTTCACGACCGTTCCGTTTGCTCTCTTCTCGCTCTTATTTGCGTATGTTACCCACCATATATGCTTAGCCGCTGCTGCAGCCTCACCACTTTGCCCCTTCCTTTCCCTTTAAGCTTTGCTAGTCTTGATACCCGTGGTAATGGGATTGTTGAGTCCTCGTAGCTCACAGATTACTACAACAACAGTTGAAGGTACAGGTTATGCGATGGTCTTGACGCGAGAGCGATGATTGCTTGTTTTGGAGTTCTTCTTCTGCTTCTTCTTCGATCAGGGGATACGTTCCAGGTCGGCAGCCTGGGCTAGCAGGGTGGATGTCGTTTAAGTTTCTGTTTGTGTTTCATCCGTAGTCGGATGATCCTCTAATGTATTGTGATGTTGTATTCGTGTGGCATTGTATGCCTCTTGTATGTATCTCCATCTATTATGTAATGTTGATGTAAGTATATCCACCTTGCAAAAGCGTCTTCAAGATGCGCTTCTATCCTTGGTGGGACCTTCGAGTTCTTTTAGGATAGGGTCGCATCTTGAGCGTGACAGGTAGACTAGTTTATAAAGTAATTTGTGATGTCTTATATGGAAACATGGAGAAACCATTGACTTCGTCGCTATTTGTGGCCTTTTTGCATAATGTATACATCATTTTAACAGAGTGTTTTAAAATGATCTGGTCGTGTGTGTGGCCATGATGACGGTCTCGCAGTGATGTGACCTCATCTACCTTTGGCTGTCTTCACCGTCGGTCCAAAGGGATCTGGTCGGTGGGTGTTGCCTCACGGTAGCTTTTCGGCAGCAGATCAAGTGGAGGAGGAGATGGTGGCCTAGCTGCTAAAGTGGGTGAGGATGCCACCATCATTGGCGGCGCTAGTGGGTGTCATTGTCCTCGTTGGAGGCAATGGTGGGGGCGTCCCTCGCTCCATTGTTTCCGGGGGAAACCTCAGAACTGGAGGAGGCTACCATTGACGGCGCCGCCCGTGGGCGTCGTAGCCCTCGTTCGAGGCGTTGAGGGGCCTCCTGGATCGGATGATTGCGACGTCTTCGTCGTCACCCCCGTGGGGGCATCATCTTTGGAGACATTCATCAGCTAGACGGACATATGGACGGCTAGCTGGTTAGGCGTCGGTAGGTGGTGGAGCGGTGCTTCATCCTACACATTGATGGCGGCGGATTTCAGCGGCACGACGCACTAGAGACTCGGCGTCCGATCGGTGGCGATGGACTCATGCAAGAGGACCACGCTATCTGGCATCGTGGTGGCGTCGATGGCAGAGAGGCCTGGCAATGTCGATGCGTCAATATCTGATCTGAGAATGGATTGAAGGATGAAGGAGGTGATGGCCCTTGCAGCATGCGCACGTGGTGCCCACTGAAAGTGCATTGGACCGGTGTGTAACCCAGTCCAGGTATTGTGGCTTGGATTGGGCGTCCGGTATTAGATGTTAGGTGTTGGTGTGATCTATGTTTGGTATTAGGCTCTAACATTCGGCACCCTTCATCACATGGATAGGAGTAGCGACAGGTGTTGTCAAGATGATGGCGTCAGGCTTACTGATGTATTACCTTGTAAGGGCTTTGTGAATAATTAATAAATGGCTACATGCATCGTCCAGATGCAGAGGCCGGAGGTACATCCTCCTTTTCAAAAAAATTTAAAAGAGTGTTTTATATTGTGTGACAGAAATGTCACGCCAGTTGACGTGTCTCAGTTTTATGCCGCACTGTACAAAAAGATTGAGTGGTTGCGTCCTTGATACAATTGCAGGCCCCAGCTATTGACTCGAAACGGCATCCAAATCGGGTCAGCAAGAGTGCAAGACAATCGTATAGTTATTACGTACTTTTTCGTCCGGAAATACTTGCCATTCAAATGGATGTATCTAGATGTATTTTAGTTTTAGATACATTCATTTTCATTTATTTTAATGACAAGTAATTTCGGACGGAGGGAGTACTACAAATTAGCTCGCTCTACTTAATTGATGTATATTCAATTTTGTGCGTTACGTTTCCGAAATATTTTAGCAGGCTTTAGCCATGGTCAAGTAAATATCTGGTTTCCCGCAAAAAAATAAGAAGTAGGTATCTTGTTACGATCGATGGCCTGGAATTAACGAGCCGATATGGGTGCATATCGACTATCTACTCGGCCAAGGCAACAATCAATGGTCTGAATATGAAAACGCCACTCTTAATGGGTTTGATATGAAAACGCGAGATGGGTAGAATGGAATATAAGTAACAATGCCAGATCGGTAATAAAACACAAAAGAGGACCCAAACTGAGGTTGTTGGTACCACAAATATGCAATTTTATTACAAATGCAACCGAAACACCCTTCCATACAAGTAAGAAAAACAAAAGCGCAAGCAGTTGCCTTTTAGCACAGCCGAATTAGTCGGGTCGGTGGGACATTTCACGCTGCAGAACAACAAAATGACGACCCAGAGAAACCAAGTGGAGTGAATACCAAATCCAGGTTTGTTGTATTCCTCGTGGCCGTTTCAAGAACTGAAAGACAGACCTGATCCATAGAGCTTGTCCTCCACAATGGCATCTAAGCGTTGCGCCATCTCTGGTGTCATATGATTCACCCAGTCTCCGGTCACCCCTTTCCTGAAATAGGATTCATGTGGGAACTTGTAAAACAGCCCGGACGCACCCGTCTTGTTCACTTGCAGTCCTTTCATTGTCTTGATGCTGCACAAGTTCACGATGTCTGCCGGCAACCCTACCGCCTCGTCGGCGGCCGAGAACGGCACCATGAGAAACTGTGCCAGTTTTATGACACTATCAACCGGATTGAGCAGCACCTCCTCGTACCTAAGGAACAATACCCTCCCCGGATTGGCTTTGCTTGCCCTCCAGTAACCGAGAAGGTGGTCCTACATGGGGCCGTCTGTGCTCTTGCCCTCGCATATACTCCCTCCGTTCCTAAATACTTGTCTTTTTAGACATTTCAAATGACTACTACATACGGATGTATGTAGACATATTTTAGGGTGTAGATTCACTCATTTTGCTCCGTATGTAGTCACTTGTTGAAATGCCTAGAAAGACAAGTATTTAGGAACGGAGGGAGTAGATTCGAAGAGGTCGGAGAAGTGGCATGGGTGAATTGTATTGGCAAAGTGCCACATGGACACCAGCATATCCTTGGGCTCCCTGCACGTGGAAGTTTATATTTCCATTTCCTCTAAAGTAATTGGACGCCAACTAAAAATTTCCCATGCTTTTGAAGTTAGGTGGTTGTACAACATAAGTTTGACTTGCACGAAAATTAATGCACCTTATATTATGGAATGGAGGGACTATGAGGTAGGTAAGATTCTTAGAATTGTCTTAGATAACCATCATTGCAGTAAATGATAACAACGTAACGAATATTATGCCTATATTAATGGGTGTATATCATTTCATAATGTATAATTTGTTCAATTGAAACAGCCTAGCTGATTTGGTGGAAATTATTGATCGGTGATCAAGTTTGAAAGTCATGTGGATATCTCAAACGAACACAATGACAGTATAATTTTCCTAATTTATTAACATGCCCGTGATGTTGATGGGAGTATGAAGCCACTAAACCTGCAGATGTAGACGATCTTTGCGTTGGGGTTTTCAGCAAGGGAGGCGGGCAGCAGGGAGTGTTGCATGTGCGTGCTCAGGAGTCTAGGCGACGGCAGCGCCTCCAGCTTGGCATCGTGTCCTGCGCTGAACAGATCGTCGATGAAGGGGACGCACTCGTGTGGGTTCAGGCGGCGGAGCGGGTGGTCGGCGGCGGTGGGCGGGTACGCGGCCCGCCCCATGGTGGCGAAGGCCATGGCCTTCAGCCACGTGGTGCCGCACTTGGGCGGGCTTGTGAGGAGCACGTCGCCGGGGCGCGGAGAGAAGCGCCGCTGGAAAGAGAGGACCCCAGGGATCCTCTCGTGGAGCAGCCAAGCGCCCTGGTATTGGTGGTGCACAAAGCGGCCTAGAATGCCGATGGTCGGCAAGGTGGAGATGATGTGCCCGTACCCTTCGGGCGGGGTGATGCGGTCGTCGTCTTCGGCCCCGACAACGTCGTTGAACGGGACGGGGCCTACGAGGCAGCAGGATGCGCTTGGAGTTGGAGCGGCCATGGCCATGTGAGCTATGCGTCGTCGGTCTCTCCGATGGGCTGATGATGATGGCTCTGCTTTACTCATTCATTCTTGGCAACTAAATAGTACTTCCACCCTGCCCTTGGCTCGAGAGGTAGTGGGTGTATTCGAAAAGGTAATAGGTGTGTATTGTCTTTTTTCTCTTATATCTGTTCTTGAATGAAAAGTCTTTGTATCGACGTTATGTATATTGCAACACAGTCCGAAATTGACAACCAGGTTATGCTAATAGTATCTTAATAATCATACAAAACTTCAAAAGGTTCCTCCAGGTTATGCCATGCTCCATTATGCACGTATATTATGGTTACTCGGTTGATGAGAATATATGAACATATAAAGATGGCGATGTAGTAACGAACCCGACAAGAAATGCAAAAGAAGCATATCCTGCAAAAGTTTAGGGATTAAAATATAGGGACAAAGCTAGAGATGCTCTAAACATTATGTTATGAATTAGGAGCGCCAAAAGTTTAGGAGGGAAGGGTTAGGAGCACCAAAAGTTTAGTGCACTTATGTATTGAGGGTTAAGTAACAGAGGTAAGTTTAGAGCATCTCTAGCAGAACCGCTAAAATCGTGTCCTCTAAAAACATTATACGATACCCCTAAAACGAAATTGTATGAATTTTACTGTATGATTTATATGTGGACAGAACATATCCCGTATAAACCAATTAAATTTACAAAAAGGTCCCTATAAAATAGCACAAAAAACCTCACACATAAAAAGAAAAAGCAATAGGATCCTCGCGTGACGGCATCAGCTGCCCGCAGCGGTAGCAACCCGTGGCAGCTGCTCGAGGGTGCGGCGTCGTGCGGAAGCTCCCGGCAGCGGCGTCCCGCAGCTTGCGAGCGGTGGCCGAAAGACTGGTTGAAGCTGAAAGTTCCCTCCAGCCAAGGGTTATTTATTTTACAAGTCCCTGTAAAAGGAGAGAGGCGTCTTCCAGATATAGCGGAATCGGCTCGAACTATGCAAGATCCCAAAAAAAATAGCAGACACATGATTTTACAGGATATATTCGCAGCAAAAATCTGCCCCGTTCATTAATATCAACGTTTATTATAGCGGACAGCCCGGGTTACGGGATCTGCTAGAGATGCTCTTAGGAATTAAAATATAAAGAAGGAACTAGAGATGCTCTAAACTCCTAGTATTATGTTATGTTATGTTATGGTTAGTGAAAGCTAAGCACTACTGCTAATCGTGTAGCTATGTGTAATACGCCTTGGTCAAAGCATAGGTTGGCTGATAAAGGCAACTCCAACGACAGATCATTAAATTGGACACACCAAACGCATGTAAGCGCGTTCAGACGCGTCCACCGACATTAGTTGGGGAGCCGGCTACCTAACCGCATGCATCAAATAAAAGCAGAGCATTTTCACTAATAATATTTTTTTTACACAGCAAATTAAACAATCCTAGTCTACTCTTAGCCGGCTGTGGGCACGTCCGTGTTCCATATCCTGCTCTTCGCCGGACGTGGACACGTTTGTGTCCCACCTCATACTCTTCGCGGGGAGTCCGTCGCCTGGCCGGCGGAGGTGAGGCCCACGATGGACGTGGACGGTCTCGCCTCTAGTCGTTACGGCCTGGCATGAACGATGCAGAGTTGTCGACATTGGCACCGTTCCCATCCGCCACTCCCTGCATGTCTGCCTCCGGCGCGATCTCGTCGAAGAGTTGGTCACGCTCCGCCTCGTTAACACGGAGCTACATTCGCTCGTGCTGGATGTTGCGGGTGCTGCGCACCAACTCGTACAATGTCCACTGAGTTGTGGACGAATTTGGGGTCCTCCACAACCATGGTCACAGTGGCTTGCTCGTTAGCCTGCTCGTCGGTGATCTGCTCCTCCACTAGTCGGTGATGCATGAGAAGGTCCCAGGTTGAATAGCTCCTCCTCTTGCAGGTTCTAGAATGTGGACACTGGCGGCACCGCCTACTACTCATGCTCCACCTCCACCATGACGCGGCTGAGTTGCGCCTACACCTGCACCATGGTGAACCCGGCAACCGGCATTGGCGCCCACTCCTCGTCTGGCGTCTCCTTCGCCGTCTGCTCCTTCTCATCTGAACTATCCTCCGGTGAGCTTGGAGGCTGTCCCGCCTCTATGCGGTGCACGCACCGGGCTTCCCAAAAACGCACAAGTTCCACGATCTCGTGTTGGCACCGTGACGAGAGCCTATTTCACCACGCATGTCTGGTCCCGGCCATTGCGTAGACAGACGTGGAAACGGGAGGAAGTGAAGCGGTGTTGTACCAGTCACACACTACGGGAGATGGAGCTCAGACCTGGTGTCGTTTGTGCCATGGAAGACTCTCTTTAAATAGAGGGCACTGGGCAGGCCAAACGGCGGTGAACGCGGGCGTCCGGACCGCGCCGGTTGAATATCGGGAAGGCGGGCGGACGGTTAGCGACGTCGGTCAGCTTGTCTGGTCTCGTCACACTAAACGGGCATTAACACGGAGCGGAGAGCGAGTGCAGGTGCCGCGAGTGGCAGGCGAGAGTGGGTTTCACGACAGGTCATGTCCGCTCTAGACCGGCATGAATGTGACGCCGAAAGCGAAGGGACTTATAGACCAGAAGGTGCAAGGAGGGTTTTGGATGGACCTGTATAGTCGGGTGTAAACGTGGCACAAGTCCGGGCACCCACAAATCTCCTCATATTTGGTACCGATTTGTTAGATTTAAATATCCGGACCACGTACACGGATGTTTGAAATACGGTGTTGGATGACAACTTAGACTACCCACAGTGGGAGTAATATAGATAATAACATCACCCGTATCTAGATAAAATAGATGATGTGGCAAGCAATAAATGAAGAAAGAAAGACATGTGGTAAGGCTGGTCACAGTGGGAAGGAACTTAGGAGTAATATCACACACTCCAATACAACTTTGCTTATGTGGCACGTATTTAATGAAGAGAGAGGTGTTTGTGGTAACTAGCTAAGTTACCGGAACATCACACACTCCAAGAAATAATGAGTCTATAACCTAATAAATACATCGTTGCATGACACTGCATAGATGTTCCTACCCATTATGGAGATAGTAACATAGTCTAGGAAAGTGTGTAAGTTACTAGCTTATATTCTTGCCCATTGTGACCAGCCTAACATAGCTAATTACCATGAGTAGCATCACACATATCAAGGTAAGATGAGTCTATAGCCTAATAAATGAAGTGTTGCATGTTACCACATACTCCCTCCGTCCGAAAATACTTGTCATCAAAATGGACAAGAAGGGATGTATCTACAACTAAAATACATCTAGATACATCCCCTTTTATTCATTTTGATGACAAGTATTTTCGGACGGAGGGAGTATATGTTACTACCCACTATAGCGGTAGTAACATAAAGTAGTAACATTTACTACTCTATGTTACTACTCATTGTCTTATGTCCGGATAGAATGGTCCAAACGTTTAGGGCAGGTTTAATGTACGACAATAAAGTTGCCCTATAATAAACTAATAATCGCACAATGTTACAACTGGCACACCCCACAAACGATGTCCCTCTTCCAAGGGGATGTTTGGTTCAGGAACTTTTTAGTCTCAGAGACTAAAAAAAATCCCTAAAAACTAAACAGAAGGGACTTTTTTTA